TGGACTCGGAGAACAAGAAAACCTATAACTACCCATCGTACCGATTTATTCCAGCGCGTTCCAATGCGTGACGCTTTGATCAGTTCATCGCATCTAGTGCCAAAGCAGCATGCACCCGTGTCCTGCAGTTTTTGCGCGTGCATGCAAGCATCCGAGTGGTGGATCCTTTGCCTTTAAACTAATGAACCGAATATCATGAGCTCATGCAACCATCCATTCAATGCTTGCATGCACCAAGTACGGAGTTGAGCAGTTGCCGCCTTGTATACTGGTACTTGAAGAAAAGACGGTTGCGCCTTGTATTAAGAAAAGACTATTGAATGACAGCAATACACATAATCTAGATATAACCCATTACAAAAAAATTCCGCGTTTCAGAGCATGCATCTTAACGACAATAATCTGGTCTCTACCCACAATTGAAAAACAATCACACAAAGCACTCAAGATAAAAATGACATAACTAGAACAACCACCGTGGATATCATTATATCAACATGAAAAAAGAAATCGCTAAAGAGAAACCGCGAAACCGTGTTAAATCTCTAAAAACCCCGAAACCGCATCAATAAGAAACTAGCTACTCCTCCGGCTCAAGATCGCCCCCATCTACAGCAGATCAACATGAATAAAGAACGCAATCCCCCTACAAATCGACCAGAGCAGGGTGCCGTGGACTGGCACGAGGACACACGAGCGCATGATCTTGCCGTCGTGCGGCGGAGAGAGGCGGACGGGGAGGAGGAAGAAGCGTACCATTTTGGCGGCCGCGGAGGGGAAGGCGGGGAGCTAGGGTTTCGGAGGCGCTGCCTTGTCTGGTCGACACGCTGCGGCGAGTGGCGGCGGGGAGGGGAAGGAGAAGGTCTGCGACTTTATACGGGTGAGCTCCTGGAGGCTAGGGTTTACTGGTGCGTGTGCTGCTTTGTGGGCCAGAATGCGCAGCCCATGGGCCATGCACCGTGATGCGTTGCCTTATAGTTGGAATAAGTTCATCTGATGTCCCTCAACTTTACACCGAGTTTGTTTGCCATCCCTTATCCTCAATACCAGAAATCTTCACCCCAAATATACAAAACCGTTCAATTTATGTCCTATGGCAGTATAGATGTCTTGGTTTCACTAACGTGGCATCCTAGTTAGCAAAATAGGAATAAAATAATATGTGAGTCCCACATGTAAGTGAAATAGAAGGAAAATGTGAGACCCACCCATCGGCAACGTTGTTATTGGGACGCCGCAGCCTGAGGACGCGGTGGAACGACTCTGGTGAGGGCACGAAGACGGTGAAGGCGAGGTCTCCTGGTGAAACCCCAAGCGCGTCGGAGTCATCCTCTCCCGGCCTACTTCGTCCTCCTCGCCATCGTCCCCTACAGCGTCCGCCATCACTTCCATATGTCGTCGTCCTCTGCACCCCACCGCCGCCACCCCGCTCCGCCCGCCACAGCACAGCGACGCCCACACCACACCCTCTCTGAGGCGCCGTCGCTCGCCCGCCACCCGTTACCCCTTGCCTGCTCCGCACACCGCCGCCACCGCCTGCCGTCGCCTGCTCGCCCGCCCGCCGGCCTCTCAGGCTAGGAGAAGAAGGGAAGAGGAGAAGAGAGAAGAAAGAAAAGACAAGAAGAAAAAAAAAGAAAAAAGAAAAGAGGAGAAGACAGGACGCTGACATGTGGGTCCCACCGTATGCCACGTCAGCAAAACCGGAGAAAATGGATCAATATTGTCTTGGGATCTTTTTTGCACGGTTTATGATAGTTGAGGGGTAGAGATTTTTGCTATCGCGGATTAGGGACCTCAGACAAACTCAACATAAAGTTGAGGGCCGTCAGGTGAACTTATATTCCCTTATAGTTATGAAGTGACTTTATCCCTCAAAATGAGTTCACTTTAGGTCCCTTACTTCATCGCTCCGTCTGTTTTGTGATCTTTTTCGCACGGTTTATGATTAGTTGAGAGGTAGAGATTTTATTGTGGATTAGGAACCTCAGACGAACTCGACTTAAAGTTAAGGGACGTCAGGTGAACTTATTCCCTTATAGTTAAGGAAGTCCAAGTGGACTTTATCCCTCAAATAAGTTCACTTTAGGTCTCTTACTTTGTCGCTTAGTCTGTTTTTCATCCTTATCCGAAAACCATATACAATCCATCCTTCAAAGTGTGCAAACGAGGTCCCTCGGTAATAATATTTCTGGTTTTGGCTGACATGACACCTTCTTCAAACTGTGCAAACGAGCTCTCTCGGTAGCAATGTCTCCGGTTTTAGCTGACATGACGCCTTTGACTAGGGGTCTTCGTCCCACGTGCTATTGACATGACGCTTACGTGGCTATTTGATAAAAATAATAAGGAGGTGTTTGGAATGGACTAAAATTTTTTAGTCCCTTCCAAATTGGATGTTTGGACACTAATTAGAAGTATTAAATATAGACTATTAACAAAACCTATCCATAATCTTGGACTTATTCGCGAGACGAATCTATTGAGCCTAATAAATCCATGATTAGCCTATGTGATGATACAATAAACATTCTATAATTATGAATTAATTAGGCTTAAAAAATTGGGTTAATTGGATACATGCCATTGTAAATTCTTCAGTTTTGAAATATACCATTACTACTCAACTATTTGGAGGTATGCCATTATAATTTTTCAGGTATTGGAAATATACCATTACATACCCCTTGGATATGTCTAACAAAAATTTTGGACCAAATTGCCCCCGTCTTCTTCCTTTGCCTCCCCCATCTCTCCTGTTCTGTTGTTCATCTTCTTCCTCCCGTTTCTTGCTGCTGTGAGATTAGGAGTACACAGTAATAGTCACTTTGTCAGGATCATGCACAAGCAGGGCCGGCCCTAGGGGGGGTCAGCCCGTGCGCACGCCCGAGTCCCCCAAAATTTAGGGGGCCCCATGGCGGATGGGCCATGGCCCACGACGCCCCCAGGGTCAGCATCGCTCTCAGTCCTGAATCATGTATGGTATCGAAGACAGAAGACGAAGAGGAGCGAAGGAAAAGTGAAGCGATCTGACTCCGTTCCCGTCGCCTCGATCACGCCTCGCGTCGCGTTGCAAACGGTAAACGGCGGCAAACCGCAACGCAAACACGGCAATCGGCAGCAAATCGCAGCGGCTCTGCATGACTGGCTGACTACGTCGATTGGAGGCCAACCGCCCGGCGGCGCGCCCTCATCGGCCGATCGGCTGCTCGCGCCTCGCAGTCGTCGTCTAAGGTAATTTTCTCTATCTTTCTTTTTCCTCTTTATAGATCAAAAATTATTAGCTTGTACTACTTAATAATTAATGATTATTTTTTAGCACAACATTAATCATATTGTCAAGAAAATATGTATCCGGTAGCGAAAAAAGAAAACGGAAAAAATGTTCGGATGATTTCATTGAAATTTTAGAAGAAACTTTTGAAAGTGCCAAGTAAGTGTTTATGATTATATTATTTCTCTTTGAAAGTTTTAAAATATTATATATAGATAATTTTATCATATCAAATATTAAATATTACATGTTTATAAGACTATAAATATATATATTAGTTTATGTATATATATAGGGGCCTCCACGTAAGTTTTTGTCCTAGAGCTTGAAAACTCAGGACCGGCCCTGTGCACAAGGCGCGCTCGTCGACGAGCACGTAATCGGTGGACGTGGACCACGCCATGGTGAAGCCGCTGTAGGCGAATGACTCCAGCTGCACCGACAGGGGCACGTCCTTGGGCGTCCGGGTGCTGGACATTCAAGAACGACATGCTCCGCGTCTTGGTTGTTGCAGTAGACCTCGGGGAGGCTGGAAACTGAGAAGGTGGTGATGCGGCCAGCGAAGGGAAGAAGGGAAACTAGATGGTGCAGCACAACACCGCCGTTGCTGGCCGAGAAAGGAGATGTGGAGGAAGAATACTAAGATACCAGATCCAAAAGGGAAAGAAATGGAAGAAAGAAGATGAACAGGAGAGGGTGGAGACAAAGGAGAAGACGAGAGCGATTTGGTCTAAAATTTTTGTTAAACACATCCAAAGGTTGTACAGTGACATATTTCCAATACCTGAAAAAGTTGTAATGGCATGTTTCTAAATAGTTTAATAGTAACGGTATATTTCAAAACTAAAGATTTTATAATGGCATCTATCCAATTAACCCTAAAAAATTTGTCTCACGAATTAGCTCTCATTTATGTAATTAGTTTTGTAAGTAGTCAATATTTAATACTCTAAATTAGTATCTAAAACAAAGACTAAAGTTTAATCCCTGGATCCAAACACCACCTAACAAACAAAATAAAAAACTAAAAAAAAAACAATTACCACACGTGTCTGTAGTCTGAACTAACCCGCACTCATAGTATATGAACATTGCCATGAGCAGCAATGCTAAGTTGTGATTGCTGCCATCCGGTTTTTTTGGGTGGGTTGGGGGGCAGCTTATGACAGTTACAAACTTTGGAATATACCACGGTTCTCAAACTAATTTTTTTCTACATCAGCATTGCTTAGCTTGTTCGAAGCTATTTATTCGGTTCATAATAATATATAATTTTTAATTCATTACTACAAACGGGATTGCGTAGCCTATCGAATCATGCATTAAGGACAGAGCAAGTACTGCAATGCTACGAAAAGAATTCACTAATATCACAAGACCTTCCAAGATACTGAACCACAAGAACAAATGAATTATCTTGCAATAAAATTACGTCCCTACATTCCATCTCTTTCGAAAGATACTGACCAAACGCCAGTACAGTTAACAATACAACATTCAGTCTGAAAAAGGAAGTTCACTAGACTAATCTCTCGAGGTCATATTCATGTCACGGGAAGTAATTAAAGTGGGTCGCTCTATGTTTGCTAACTACTAATCAAAAGACAGCAGGTAAGATAACAAAAAAAGAAAAGGGATACTGAGGACTAAGGTAAATAGAACTGTCGTAAGATAAAATTGCAGCAAAATATAAACACATGCATCACATTGGATTCAACGAGCATTAAGCAACAAAACTTGATTCAGCAGAAAGCCAATCCTTGCTAGAGTAAATGTCAGACGATGATACTTGAATACATTGATATGGTCTGCTTAAATAAGCTCCTAATAACATTGAAATATTGAAGCACAGTAGACCAACAACTATAGTATCCAGTAGGTAGCAAGCAATTTAGAAAAGAGATGTTCCCTTGCCCTTCTTGTCTCCACCAATCTCGAAATGCTTGCACCTCTGCAGAGAACAATTATGCAAGTGAGCATCCAACACATCCAGCAAAATAATGATTCATGATAATTTTCAGCTCTGGAGTCTTGACAATGAAATAATACCTTGATGGGGTGCTGGGAGTAATGCTTGCAGCTTTGGCATTGCAGCTTCAGCACGATCTTCTTGGTGGTTTTTGCCTGAAAACAGGAACCATGTATCATAACATGAAAAATGCACAGCTGAAAGCCACATGCAATTAAAACTACGTGATGGTTATTGCCACATGCATTGTACAGACACATATCACTGCTACATCAATCATGACACCGTACGTTTCTAATGAACAGAGAGTCACACACAACACTGCATAATCATATATAAACTGTCACAGTACCTTCTTGTGGAAAACAGGCTTGGTCTGACCACCATATCCTGACTGCTTTCGGTCATAACGGCGCTTTCCCTGGGCAGACAGGCTGTCCTTACCCTTCTTGTACTGAGTGACCTTGTGAAGGGTGTGCTTCCTGCACTCCTTGTTCTTGCAGTAGGTCTTCTTGGTCTTGGGAACGTTCACCTATACAAAACAAATTTGAAACAAAAGCACTCAGCTTAACAAATACTGAATGTGGAATGGACATCGCAGGCCTATAAACAATAATCAAATGTGCATAATTTGAAGCAAATGTGTGTACAAATTTTTCAACAGTGAAGACACATTCAGCAAACCAATGGTTAAAACCTCAATTGGGTCTCAGGAAATATGCTTATGTTTGTCATCACAAGAATGTCAGGTCTCAAAGATTTCATGCCATCATCGGAGCCCATCAGTCAAAGCCAGACAAGATTACCGAACAATTTTAGAACAAGAGAAAAAAAAAGGAACTCATCCCATGTCCTCACAGGAAAATGATGAAAATGTTCATACTACAGAAGTTTAAGTGCTAATTAAATGACAACAATACACATATAATCTAGATATAACCCACTACAAAATTTTCAGCATGCAGAGGGTCAGCTCGGAAAATACGTCGATCTTCACGACAATAATCTGGTCTATACCCACGATTCAAAGCATTGAAGTCTTGAAGATAAAAATGACATAACTAGAACAATCACCGTGGACATCAACATGAACAAAAAAAATGTCGCTAAAGAGAAACCATCTCATGTTAAAATCCGCTAGACCCCAAAACGCATAATCAAAGAAACTAGCTACTCCTCTCCTCCGGCTCAAGATCCCCCCATCTACGGCAGATCAACATGAATAAAGAACGCATCCTACAAATTGTGAAACACCATGAGAAAGACGGCGCGCGGAGCCGTGGACTGGCACGAGGACAAGCACGCGTGCGATCTTCCCGTCGTGCGGCGGAGGGGAGGAGGAGGAGGAGGAGGAGGGAGAAGCGTACCATTTTCGCGGCCGCGGGGAGGGGGCGGCTAGGGTTTCGGAGGCGAGCGGCGGTGGCGGGGGAGGAGAAGGAGAGAGAGGTCTGCAGCTTTATACGGGTGCGGTCTTGGAGGCTAGGGCTTTACTGGTGAGGGAGATAGAGCCCATGGGCCGTGGTGCCCCGGCTAAGCCCCGCAAGATATTGTGGGCTTGTGGCCGCACTTTCAGCCCATGGGCAGTAGTGCCCCGGATAAGCCCTGCGCGACATTGTGGCCGTTTGGTTGGTAAAAATTTTACTCGTGACAATAGTTTCTAGATTTTCAATGTATATGTGATTTGCACTATATATTTTTTTTACACAGATATGCATTATCCTTGTTCACAAAATCTTACTACTACCAGTTTATCGCAACTTAAAAATTCGTTTCTCGTTGATTCTTGTATAGTAGTATCTCCTGTAAGTGCAGTCAAATCTTGAAACCTTAAAAATTTAATAGACGTAAAAATATTTAAAATATGAAAAGTTATATTGGTATATTTTTTTTTATGAGAAACTCTCTTTCATAAAGTTATATTGGTAATGTTTTTTTAAATATATAGTTTAGTCTTTAGAGACTAGTGGCCCTGCGGCGGTCGCGGCGACGGATCTAGCCTCCCCCGTCGTCGCGGCGGCAGATCCGGCCTCCACCATCGTCGCAGCGGCCGAATCCGGCCCCGAGCTTATGGCGGCTAGCGGTGGAGAGGAGGAGGCCACGCCCCACCACCGCGGAGAGGCGGTAGAGGCGACGGCAGCCGGCGGCGGTGGAGAAGGGAGGAAGAAGGTGAAACCGAGAGAGAAGGAAGAGAGGCGGCGGAGGGGCCGCGCAGTGGGGGAAGGGAGAAGGGAGCGGTGGGGGTGGGGGACAGTAGATTTATATATTCGCCCAAAACATTTTTCGCAGTGGTCCTCCTTACCTACTGCCGGTGAAAATGAGATTTTTCGCTGGCGGACACTTAAGAGGTCCGCCTCGAAAAACTGGCAGACACTTAAGAGGTTCGTCTCGAAAAATAGAGTAGTTTTTTTAGGCATTTCTCTTAGCGTGGTTATCAGCAAAAATTGGTTTCTGCTGGTGGTCCGTAGCCCCCCACCTATTGTTATGTTTTTTTGGCGGTTTTTGCATATGGACGCCAGCGTAAAATATAGGGTAACATCACGAAAAATCGTTTTTTATAGTGTAAAATTGTTATGATGATAAAATGTGTATTGCGGACTATGCTGATGATGTCACTCATCTGAAAACAGAGATAGTAACAAGGAGTGAACACGTTACATATGCCCACTTAACCCTTACGAAAATGTATTCGAGAATTACTAATCTAAATGCTCCACTACGTACAGTACATCGTCGGAGATTAATTGTGTGATGGGCCACAAGAATGAGCTGCCATGCACTCGACTGAATTCTGATGGAACAGGAACACCATACAGTATTGGTACCGGCGACAGCAACAGCAATTGGTTTCTGCTTCTCGCGTTGACAATTTCACTATGCTAACCACCACTTTGTCCACTAAAACGCGCTCATGACCAATGTCAAATCAAACCCGTGGATGAACGTGCACGGCCCGAGTACTCCACCAAGCAAGATTCAGCTGCCGAGTGAAAGAAGAAAAAGCTATTTGCAATTGCTCAAATTAAATCACCTTGGGAACAGATGCAAACCTACAGCTAACACAGTTCGTTACGGTCCTAACCGTATGTTTTTTATACCTCGAGAAATACCAAGTTTTATATAAAAGAAATGGTACCTTCTAATACCAAGAACAGTAAAATTACTCCCAAGTCCAAATACTACAATCCTTCTAAAATAAGTATGATTTTATATTCAAATTTTGTTTTAAAATAAGTACAATCCCGTACTACTTATCACATCAGTTCATCTTATCCTCAATTGGAAGAGTACGAAGCCGGCACGACCCCCGCGTCGCCCTCTCACGCGAGCGGCACAGGGGGTGAACCCTAGCCCCCGCCGCCCCCTCCCTTCCTCTCCCCCCTCGCCGCCGCCGGAGCGCGCCACCGGAGTTCCGCGCGGCCAACTGTGAGGGCGGCGGCGAGGCCATTCCTCGGCGACGCGACGGCTCAGCGTGAGGATGATGACGCGGCGCGTGATAGGTGGGGGCTGACATCAGCGCGGCGCGAAGCTTCGGATCTGGCGCCCCCGTGGCTGGATCTGGCACCCTGCTTTTGGACCTGGCCGGAGGAGAGCAACAATGCCGTGCGCGGTGGCGCGATGGGGCGTGGTGGAGGCGGTGCGGCGGCGTGTGTCCCGGCGACGGTGTGCTGTTCCCGGCGAAGGAGCGGTCGTGCTCCTTGGCCGCGGAGGGCAGTCGCTAGCGGTGCTGTCTGGCGACGTGTCGTCCGTGAGGGCGGTGACGGGCCTCGGCTTGGCTCCTTGTAGTCCCCCCCTCAGCATTTTCAGTACAGGAAAATTACAATACATTAGATTTAGGGTGCAATCTTTTCAGCTTATGAACTTCGGGATATGCATACCACTGTTCTCAAACTAGAAATTTTCTACATCAGCATTGCCTGGCTCGTTCTAAGCTATTTATTCGGTTTATAATAACTAGCATGGTGGCCTGCGCATATTGCGCGGCTAGCATCATTATATTTTCTCTCATATAATAGCATATATGTTTTCTCATTATATTATTATAATATATTACAATGACAACATAATTTTAAATTTTGCAATAACTTTTCAAAACTACTAATGTGTAATAACTACTCTAGTCTCCTCTTCTAATATTTCTTATTTTTTAATTCTGAATTTCAGCTATTTCTAAATTGTATTTCTATATGGACTCTGTTTTTTCTTTTTCTCTGATTAATGTGAGAATTTCTATGCCATGAGAGCGAACCTGAAAGCTCCTTTTTATTCCGAATTTTAGTTGGTTTTAAATTCCAATATGAACTCTATATTCTACTTCTAATATTCCTTATTTTTTAATTCCAAATTTCTATTTTTTTTCTTAATTGTATTTCTATAAGGACTCTATACTCTACTTCTAATATTTCTTATTTTTAATTCCAAATTTCGGTTATTTCCTAATTGTATTTCTATATGTACTCTATACTCTACTTCTAATATTCCTTATTTTTAATTTCGAATTTCAGTTATTTCCTAATTGTATTTCTATATGGACTCTAGTCTCCACTTCTAATATTCCTTATTTTTTAATTCCGAATTTCAACTATTTCTAAATTGTATTTCTATATGGACTCTAGTCTCCTCTTTTAATATTTCTTTTTTTTAATTCCGAATTTCAGCTATTTCTAAATTGTATTTCTATATAGATTCTGCTTTTTCTTTTTCTCCGATTAATGTGAGAATTTCTAGATCATGAGAGCGAACGTGAAGGCTCCTTTTTTTTTCCGAATTTTAGTTAGTTTGAAATTCCTATATGGACTCTATACTCTACTTCTAATATTTCTTATTTTTAATTCCAAATTTCTATTTTTTTTCTTAATTGTATTTCTATATGGACTCTATGCTCTACTTCTAATATTCCTTATTTTTAATTCCGAATTTCAGTTATTTCCTAATTGTATTTCTATATGGACTCTATACTCTACTTCTAATATTCCTTATTTTTAATTCCGAATTTCAATTATTTCCTAATTGTATTTCTATATGGACTCTATACTCTACTTCTAATATTCCTTATTTTTAATTCCGAATTTCAACTATTTCCTAATTGTATTTCTATATGGACTCTATACTCCTATTCTAATATTTCTTTTTTTAATTCCGAATTTCAGCTATTTCTAAAGTGTATTTCTATATGGACTCTAGTCTCCTCTTCTAATATTCCTTATTTTTAATTCTGAATTTCAGCTATTTCTAAATTGTATTTCTATATGAACTCTGTTTTTTTCTTTTTCTTCGATTAATGTGAGAATTTCTAGGCCATGGGAGCGAACGTAGAGGCTCCTTTTTTTTTCCGAATTTTAGTTAGTTTTAAATTCCTATATGGACTCTATACTCTACTTCTAATATTTCTTATTTTTTAATTCTGAATTTCTATTTTTTCTTAATTGTATTTCTATATGGACTTTATACTCTACTTCTAATATTCCTTATTTTTAATTCAGAATTTCTATTATTTCCTAATTGTATTTCTATATGGACTCTATACTCTACTTCTAATATTCTTTATTTTTAATTCCGAATTTCTATTATTTCCTAATTGTATTTCTATATGGACTCTATACTCCTCTTCTAATATTCCTTATTTTTTAATTCCAAATTTCAACTATTTCTAAAGTGTATTTCTATATGAACTCTAGTCTTCTCTTCTAATATTCCTTATTTTTTAATTCCGAATTTCAGCTATTTCTAAATTGTATTTCTATATGGACTCTGTTTTTTTTTCTCCGATTAATGTGAGAATTTCTAAGCCATGAGAGTAAACGTGGAGGCTCTTTTTTCTATTCCTTTAATTATATAATAGATTTAGGAGTGTAATATTTAATTCATTACTATAAACAATTGTCAATAACCTATCCAAATCATGCATGAAGAATGGAACAAGTACTACAATGCTACGAAAACAGTTCACTAACATCACAAGACCAAACATTGCTACGAAAACAGTTTCACTAACGCCACAAGACCAAACATTAGTATCGACCTTCTAAGATAACAATCACAAGACCAAGGCCTATCTTACAATTCACCTCCATCCATGGTATTCCATACCTTCTATCTCGTGACGAAGATATTGAACAAAACATAGTATAGTTAACCATATACGAAATTCAGTCTGAAAAATGGAAGTTCATCAGACTAACCTCTCAGGGATTCATGTCACAGGAATTCGTTTAAGTGGGTCGCTCTAGGATTGCAAACATAGGTAAGATAACGAAAAACAGACACCGAGTACTTAGGGAGATAAAACTGCCATAAGACAAAATTGCAGTGCAACATAAACACATGCATCACATTGGATTCAATGAGCATTAAGCAACAAAACTTGATTCAGCAGAAAGCCAATCCTTGCTAGAGTACTTGAATACATGATATGGTCTGCTTAAATTAAGCTCCTAATAACATTGAAGTATGAAGCACAGTAGACCCACAACTTCAGTATCCAGTAGGTAGTTTAGAAAAGAGACGTTCCCTTGCCCTTCTTGTCTCCACCAATTTTAAAATGCTTGCACCTCTGCACAGAATAATTATGTAAGTGAGCATCCAACACATCTAAAAAGATACTGATTCATGAGAATTTTCAGCTTGAATCTTCACATTGCAAAAATACCTTGATGGGGTGCTGGGAGTAATGCTTGCAGCTTTGGCATTGCAGCTTCAGCACAATCTTCTTGGTGGTTTTTGCCTGAAAACAGGAACCATGTATCATAACATGAAAAATGCACCCTGCTTTTGGACCTGGCCGGAGGAGAGCAACAATGCCGTGCGCGGTGGCGCGATGGGGCGTGGTGGAGGCGGTGCGGCGGCGTGTGTCCCGGCGACGGTGTGCTGTTCCCGGCGAAGGAGCGGTCGTGCTCCTTGGCCGCGGAGGGCAGTCGCCAGCGGTGCTGTCTGGCGACGTGTCGTCCGTGAGGGCGGTGATGGGCCTCGGCTTGGCTCCTTATAGTCCCCCCCCCCTCAGCCGGCGATGAAGGCTAGGCCCGGCGCCCCCGACTGGTGGCGTGCAGATCTGCGCTCCTAGCGTCTGGATCTGGTCGAATCCGTGGCACCGGTGGCAGGCTCTGGCCTCGGACCCCCCCTCCCCCGCGGGACTGGTGACCTTGCCCAACACCTTCTTCCATCCCCATCCCTCCTCCTCCCTCCTCTTTGAGGCGCCCTTGAGCTAGCCAACGAGCTCCTTGCCATAACATGCTTGGCTCTGATCCATCAATTAGGATTTGCCAGTGCCTCTCCCTCTCTCTAGATCTCCTTTTAGCATGCTCCTTGATTGATGGATTAGGTCAGGTCTTTTATGTTAGTGCCTACGGTTTTCTTTGGCTTGAATGGCTACTATTCTTGCAGCCTTCCCTGTTGACGCGGTTGATGTTCTTCTAGCTGTAGGATTCCCCCCTCTACCACTTATCTTTTGTCCAGCTCCCTCTTCGTCTCCACCCTTTTCCTTGGATTGTCCTCAACCACATTGTTCGGCGGCCCTCCCTCCTTTGAGGCTTCCTTCCCTAAAAGGGCGTTGGAGGGCGTGGAACTAGCTAGCAATTTGTTATAGTCGGATTGAAGAAGACTCGATGCGAGCGGTCTCTATGGCCGCAACCCATCGCCGCCATAGACGTACGGACGGCCGGCTACAACACAACACAGTAACTGTAACTGAAGAAGCCGGCGCCACCATTCCCGCCGCCAATATGCTCGCCGCCGCCGCCTCCGTCAAGCTCTCCACGGCCGGGACCGCCACGGCGCCCAAGATGGCATTATTCAAGCCCCTCCACCTCCCTCCCCTCTTCGCCGCCGCCGCCGCCGCCGCCGGGCCACGTCCCCTCTCCCTCTCGGCGCGCCCCCTGTACCGGCAGCAGGACCCGTTATTCCTGGCGTCGCGCGTCGCGTCACCGGCGCCGCCGCCGCCGTCCGCCACCGCCGACGGCGCCCGGCCGGTGGAGGCTGCACCGGCGGGCGCGGCGCCGGAGGAGGCGGCGAGGCGGGCCAAGATCGGGGTCTACTTCGCGACGTGGTGGGCGCTGAACGTGATCTTCAACATCTACAACAAGAAGGTGCTCAACGCGTTCCCTTACCCGTGGCTCACGTCCACGCTCTCCCTCGCCGCCGGCTCCGCCATCATGCTCGCCTCCTGGGCCACCAGGATCGCCGAGGCGCCCGCCACCGACCTCGATTTCTGGAAGGCCCTGTCACCGGTGAGATCGCATTGACCATGGACACCATCGTCTCCTCCTTCTTGATTCTGTTCTATTCTGAATCTCTGACGCGTTCGTTGGATTTGGGGATTCGTTTTTGCTCGTTGTGGGACGAGCAGGTGGCGATCGCGCACACCATCGGGCACGTGGCGGCGACGGTGAGCATGGCGAAGGTGGCGGTGTCGTTCACCCACATCATCAAGAGCGGCGAGCCGGCGTTCAGCGTGCTCGTCTCCAGGTTCTTCCTCGGCGAGCACTTCCCGGCGCCGGTCTACTTCTCCCTCCTCCCAATCATCGGCGGATGCGCCCTCGCCGCCATCACCGAGCTCAATTTCAACATGATTGGTGAGTGAGCAAACACTCTGCATCTCTCTGTCTCTCCACCTGAAATCCTGGAGATACTTGCAGCAGATACACCAGAAATATCCTCACTTTTTGATTAAAAAAATAGATATTATCTCCAAGAATTCTTCAGAACAAGAACTGTCCATTAACCAAAGATATGTTTTCTTATGTCAGATAAAGAAATATACACCAGCCACGAAAAAGTGCACAATTTGTTCATAAACCTGACACATCACATCAATCTGTTCATCGTGTATTGCTGAAAATTCGATGCAGGATTCATGGGGGCGATGATCTCGAACCTGGCATTCGTGTTCCGGAACATATTCTCCAAGAAGGGGATGAAGGGCAAGTCGGTGAGCGGGATGAACTACTACGCCTGCCTCTCCATGCTCTCGCTGGTCATCCTCCTCCCTTTCGCCTTCGCCATGGAGGGGCCCAAGGTGTGGGCTGCCGGCTGGCAAAAAGCCGTCGCCGAGATCGGTCCAAACTTCGTCTGGTGAGCCTCACATGCTTTTCTTTGTACCACTTCTCACCGTTTCACTGTCACAACCATCACGTCAGTTGAGATTTTTGGGTATCAATTGGGCAAAAAATTTCTAGTGATAAGTGCTTGACCTAAGCTTTCAAACAGTTTCAGCATGCAACACTTTGTACTTTCAGTAACATCACTCAAGTATTCTATACAAAAAGAACCATTATCAATTAATATAGATATAGGATCGTCCTATCACTATCATTTCCTCCTAAGCGGCAATATCTTCTTCAGTTCATTCTGAAAGAGAAATAAGAAGTATCAAAAGATTTGATGATATTTTTGTGTGATAATCCAGCTGATTCATGTGGCCATGGATTTCTCTGTGGTTTTGTAGGTGGGTGGCGGCGCAGAGTGTGTTCTACCACTTGTACAACCAAGTGTCCTACATGTCATTGGACGAGATCTCACCACTGACATTCAGCATCGGCAACACCATGAAGCGGATCTCCGTCATTGTCGCCTCCATCATCATCTTCCACACGCCGGTCCAGCCCATCAACGCCCTCGGAGCCGCCATTGCGATTCTCGGAACTTTCATCTACTCTCAGGTAGATTTTCCGCACATGTTTTACCAAATCACATTTTTCACAAAAGAGCCAATTCATGAACATAAGTCTGAATCTCTAACCAAAAAAAAAACATCTCATTTTTTCAGGCGAAGCAGTAATGGCATAAGCATGGAAATGGCACCCGTTTTCGCCACAAGTCGCGACTCGGTGCTCGGGATGTAACAATGCTATGAGCATATATCCAAGGATCCCTTGTAATATATTAGATCTTCTTTTCTTTTCATTTTTCTTTCTCTAGGTGTAGCTGCCAATGTTTCTTCTGAATTCGTCGAGTTCTTGTACTATGACTATGATGATGTAGAGAGGTGGATCTGCCTAAATAAAGCTGTTAGATTTTTTGCTTGACCCTTTGCTGCTGCTGCTGCTGCTTCTGAATTTTGTGATGTGGTCCAAAACACAAGGTGTGGTTCAGAATGAGTTGGGGGCTACCGGTTAGATCGGAGAGCAGAAGCAGTGCATGCTTGACACACTACGGTCCGGCTTGTTTTGTTGCTGGGTGATGGATGATGGGTACAGGGCATGGCCCTGAAAATCCTTGAATAGTCCCAACTGGCGCTGTGCAATTTGCTCACTGAGATCTCTGGGATGGATTCAGCGTTGGACACTTGCGATTTTCCTTACATGAAATGAGAATTTTAGGATTCTGGAGGAGGCATATACCCCAAAAATGACGATCTGTTCTGGAATCAAGAACAGCTTTTCTGGGCTCCAAAAGGCCAAAGCCTTTTAGCTTCAAATGCTAGTAGAGTAAATTGCCAGATGGATGCACTTTACTACACGAACTTGTAAAAGACTTGTTTCGGTACATGAATTTGTTCGATGCATGTGAAACAAGGTCAAAATGACACATCATAATCAATTTTACTAAGTTATACACTGATTAGGACGAGATGTGCATATGGAGGTGGACATGAGACATGCATTTGTGCTTTATTATTCTTTGTTCTACCCCTTGCACTATTTCTCAGTATTTTTGTGTCTTTCTCCATACAATCTTTAGGCCTTATTAACCCCTTTTTATTGAACAAATGTATATGTACTTAGCATTTTTCTCACACATGTGTTTATGTAGTATCCTAATTAACACTAAAATAAGATTAGCTTTGTTTTTTCTTTTGGCCTTGATTCACATGCACCTAACAAGTTCGTGTATCAAAATGAGCGTTTTATAAGTTTATGTACTAGATTGCTTCCACCTAGCAAGTTCGTGTACCGCCAATGCAATTTACTCATGCTAGTATTTGGAGAAAGCATATAACCAAATGACGGTTTGTGCTTGAATCAAGGATAGCTTTTCTGGGCTCAAAAGGCCAGAGCTGCTTAGGTTCCAATGAAGATGTTTCTTTCGTGCTTTTTGGGAGGATCACTGCGATGGCACTCCTCCGATGTTGCTACTTGCATATCCTTCTATACTTTATTTAACTTGGCTACAACTTGAAAATGAACGCAACCAATCACCACGGCTGTCCGATCCAACAGCATTTTCAGTACAGGAAAACTACAATACATTAGATTTAGGGTGCAATCTTTTCAGCTTATGAACTTCGGGATATGCATACCACGGTTCTCAAACTAGAAATTTTCTACATCAGCATTGCCTGGCTCGCTTTAAGCTATTTATTCGGTTTATAATAATTTAGGAGTGTAATATTTAATTCATTACTATAAACAATTGTCAATAACCTATCCAAATCATGCATGAAGAATGGAACAAGTAATACAATGCTACGAAAACAGTTCAATAACATCACAAGACCAAACATTGCTACGAAAACAGTTTCACTAACGCCACAAGACCAAACATTAGTATCGACCTTCTAAGATAACAATCACAAGACCAAGGCCTATCTTTCAATTCACCTCCATCCATAGTATTCCATACCTTCCATCTCGTTACGAAGATATTGAACAAAACATAGTATAGTTAACCATATACGAAATTCGATCTGAAAAACGGAAGTTCATCAGACTAGCCTCTCAGGGATTCATGTCACAGGAATTCGTTTACGTGGGTCGCTCTAGGATTGCAAACTCGGGTAAGATAACGAAAAACAGACACTGAGGACTTAGGGAGATAAAACTGCCATAAGACAAAAGTCACAATTGCAGTGCCATCTAAAGACATGCATCACATTGGATTCGACGAGCATTAAGCAAGAAAACTTGATTCAGCAGAAAGCCAATCCTTGCTAGAGTAAATGTCAGACGATGATACTTGAATACATGATATGGTCTGCTTAAATTAAGTTCCTAATAACATTGAAGTATGAAGCACAATAGACCCACAACTTCAGTATCCAGTAGGTAGTTTAGAAAAGAGATGTTCCCTTGCCCTTCTTGTCTCCACCAATCTCGAAATGCTTGCACCTCTGTAAAGAATAATAATGTAAGATAGCACCCAACACATCTAAAAAGATACTGATTGATTCATGACAATTTTCAGCTTGAGTCTTGACAATGAAATAATACCTTGATGGGGTGCTGGGAGTAATGCTTGCAGCTTTGGCATTGCAGCTTCAGCACAATCTTCTTGGTGGTTTTTGCCTGAAAACAGGAACCATGTATCATAACATGAAAAATGCACAGCTGAAAGTCAGATACATTAAAACTACATGATGGTTATTGCCACATGTTTGCATTGAACAGACACAAATCATGACACCATATGTTTCTAATGAAGAGAGACAATCACACACAGCACTGCGTAATCACATATAAACTGTCACAATACCTTCTTGTGGAAAACAGGCTTGGTCTGACCACCATATCCTGACTGCTTACGGTCATAACGGCGCTTTCCCTGGGCAGACAGGCTGTCCTTACCCTTCTTGTACTGAGTGACCTTGTGAAGGGTGTGCTTCCTGCACTCCTTGTTCTTGCAGTAGGTCTTCTTGGTCTTGGGAACGTTCACCTATACATAAGAAATATGAAACAAATTTAACAAATACTGGTTATTGGAAAGCACATAGCAGGCCTATAAACAACACAATCAAATGTGCATAATCAGAAGCACATGTGAATCGATATTTTTCGACAGCAAAGACAAATTCAGCAGACCAATGGTTAAAACCTCAATTGGGTCCTCAGGAAATATGCTTATGTTTGTCATCACAAGAATGTCAGGTCTCAAAGATTTCATGCCATCATCGGAGCCCATCAGTCAAAACCAGACATGATTACCAAACAATTTTCGCACAAGATAAAAAAAAGAATTCATCCCACGTCCTCAAGGAAGATGATGAAAAATGTTTACTCCAGAAGTTAATTGCTACTCCCTCCATTCCTTAATACAAGGCATAACTTGTTTGGACTCGGAGAACAAGAAAACCTATAACTACCCATCGTACCGATTTATTCCAGCGCGTTCCAATGCGTGACGCTTTGATCAGTTCATCGCATCTAGTGCCAAAGCAGCATGCACCCGTGTCCTGCAGTTTTTGCGCGTGCATGCAAGCATCCGAGTGGTGGATCCTTTGCCTTTAAACTAATGAACCGAATATCATGAGCTCATGCAACCATCCATTCAATGCTTGCATGCACCAAGTACGGAGTTGAGCAGTTGCCGCCTTGTATACTGGTACTTGAAGAAAAGACGGTTGCGCCTTGTATTAAGAAAAGACTATTGAATGACAGCAATACACATAATCTAGATATAACCCATTACAAAAAAATTCCGCGTTTCAGAGCATGCATCTTAACGACAATAATCTGGTCTCTACCCACAATTGAAAAACAATCACACAAAGCACTCAAGATAAAAATGACATAACTAGAACAACCACCGTGGATATCATTATATCAACATGAAAAAAGAAATCGCTAAAGAGAAACCGCGAAACCGTGTTAAATCTCTAAAAACCCCGAAACCGCATCAATAAGAAACTAGCTACTCCTCCGGCTCAAGATCGCCCCCATCTACAGCAGATCAACATGAATAAAGAACGCAATCCCCCTACAAATCGACCAGAGCAGGGTGCCGTGGACTGGCACGAGGACACACGAGCGCATGATCTTGCCGTCGTGCGGCGGAGAGAGGCGGACGGGGAGGAGGAAGAAGCGTACCATTTTGGCGGCCGCGGAGGGGAAGGCGGGGAGCTAGGGTTTCGGAGGCGCTGCCTTGTCTGGTCGACACGCTGCGGCGAGTGGCGGCGGGGAGGGGAAGGAGAAGGTCTGCGACTTTATACGGGTGAGCTCCTGGAGGCTAGGGTTTACTGGTGCGTGTGCTGCTTTGTGGGCCAGAATGCGCAGCCCATGGGCCATGCACCGTGATGCGTTGCCTTATAGTTGGAATAAGTTCATCTGATGTCCCTCAACTTTACACCGAGTTTGTTTGCCATCCCTTATCCTCAATACCAGAAATCTTCACCCCAAATATACAAAACCGTTCAATTTATGTCCTATGGCAGTATAGATGTCTTGGTTTCACTAACGTGGCATCCTAGTTAGCAAAATAGGAATAAAATAATATGTGAGTCCCACATGTAAGTGAAATAGAAGGAAAATGTGAGACCCACCCATCGGCAACGTTGTTATTGGGACGCCGCAGCCTGAGGACGCGGTGGAACGACTCTGGTGAGGGCACGAAGACGGTGAAGGCGAGGTCTCCTGGTGAAACCCCAAGCGCGTCGGAGTCATCCTCTCCCGGCCTACTTCGTCCTCCTCGCCATCGTCCCCTACAGCGTCCGCCATCACTTCCATATGTCGTCGTCCTCTGCACCCCACCGCCGCCACCCCGCTCCGCCCGCCACAGCACAGCGACGCCCACACCACACCCTCTCTGAGGCGCCGTCGCTCGCCCGCCACCCGTTACCCCTTGCCTGCTCCGCACACCGCCGCCACCGCCTGCCGTCGCCTGCTCGCCCGCCCGCCGGCCTCTCAGGCTAGGAGAAGAAGGGAAGAGGAGAAGAGAGAAGAAAGAAAAGACAAGAAGAAAAAAAAAGAAAAAAGAAAAGAGGAGAAGACAGGACGCTGACATGTGGGTCCCACCGTATGCCACGTCAGCAAAACCGGAGAAAATGGATCAATATTGTCTTGGGATCTTTTTTGCACGGTTTATGATAGTTGAGGGGTAGAGATTTTTGCTATCGCGGATTAGGGACCTCAGACAAACTCAACATAAAGTTGAGGGCCGTCAGGTGAACTTATATTCCCTTATAGTTATGAAGTGACTTTATCCCTCAAAATGAGTTCACTTTAGGTCCCTTACTTCATCGCTCCGTCTGTTTTGTGATCTTTTTCGCACGGTTTATGATTAGTTGAGAGGTAGAGATTTTATTGTGGATTAGGAACCTCAGACGAACTCGACTTAAAGTTAAGGGACGTCAGGTGAACTTATTCCCTTATAGTTAAGGAAGTCCAAGTGGACTTTATCCCTCAAATAAGTTCACTTTAGGTCTCTTACTTTGTCGCTTAGTCTGTTTTTCATCCTTATCCGAAAACCATATACAATCCATCCTTCAAAGTGTGCAAACGAGGTCCCTCGGTAATAATATTTCTGGTTTTGGCTGACATGACGCCTTCTTCAAACTGTGCAAACGAGCTCTCTCGGTAGCAATGTCTCCGGTTTTAGCTGACATGACGCCTTTGACTAGGGGTCTTCGTCCCACGTGCTATTGACATGACGCTTACGTGGCTATTTGATAAAAATAATAAGGAGGTGTTTGGAATGGACTAAAATTTTTTAGTCCCTTCCAAATTGGATGTTTGGACACTAATTAGAAGTATTAAATATAGACTATTAACAAAACCTATCCATAATCTTGGACTTATTCGCGAGACGAATCTATTGAGCCTAATAAATCCATGATTAGCCTATGTGATGATACAATAAACATTCTATAATTATGAATTAATTAGGCTTAAAAAATTGGGTTAATTGGATACATGCCATTGTAAATTCTTCAGTTTTGAAATATACCATTACTACTCAACTATTTGGAGGTATGCCATTATAATTTTTCAGGTATTGGAAATATACCATTACATACCCCTTGGATATGTCTAACAAAAATTTTGGACCAAATTGCCCCCGTCTTCTTCCTTTGCCTCCCCCATCTCTCCTGTTCTGTTGTTCATCTTCTTCCTCCCGTTTCTTGCTGCTGTGAGATTAGGAGTACACAGTAATAGTCACTTTGTCAGGATCATGCACAAGCAGGGCCGGCCCTAGGGGGGGTCAGCCCGTGCGCACGCCCGAGTCCCCCAAAATTTAGGGGGCCCCATGGCGGATGGGCCATGGCCCACGACGCCCCCAGGGTCAGCATCGCTCTCAGTCCTGAATCATGTATGGTATCGAAGACAGAAGACGAAGAGGAGCGAAGGAAAAGTGAAGCGATCTGACTCCGTTCCCGTCGCCTCGATCACGCCTCGCGTCGCGTTGCAAACGGTAAACGGCGGCAAACCGCAACGCAAACACGGCAATCGGCAGCAAATCGCAGCGGCTCTGCATGACTGGCTGACTACGTCGATTGGAGGCCAACCGCCCGGCGGCGCGCCCTCATCGGCCGATCGGCTGCTCGCGCCTCGCAGTCGTCGTCTAAGGTAATTTTCTCTATCTTTCTTTTTCCTCTTTATAGATCAAAAATTATTAGCTTGTACTACTTAATAATTAATGATTATTTTTTAGCACAACATTAATCATATTGTCAAGAAAATATGTATCCGGTAGCGAAAAAAGAAAACGGAAAAAATGTTCGGATGATTTCATTGAAATTTTAGAAGAAACTTTTGAAAGTGCCAAGTAAGTGTTTATGATTATATTATTTCTCTTTGAAAGTTTTAAAATATTATATATAGATAATTTTATCATATCAAATATTAAATATTACATGTTTATAAGACTATAAATATATATATTAGTTTATGTATATATATAGGGGCCTCCACGTAAGTTTTTGTCCTAGAGCTTGAAAACTCAGGACCGGCCCTGTGCACAAGGCGCGCTCGTCGACGAGCACGTAATCGGTGGACGTGGACCACGCCATGGTGAAGCCGCTGTAGGCGAATGACTCCAGCTGCACCGACAGGGGCACGTCCTTGGGCGTCCGGGTGCTGGACATTCAAGAACGACATGCTCCGCGTCTTGGTTGTTGCAGTAGACCTCGGGGAGGCTGGAAACTGAGAAGGTGGTGATGCGGCCAGCGAAGGGAAGAAGGGAAACTAGATGGTGCAGCACAACACCGCCGTTGCTGGCCGAGAAAGGAGATGTGGAGGAAGAATACTAAGATACCAGATCCAAAAGGGAAAGAAATGGAAGAAAGAAGATGAACAGGAGAGGGTGGAGACAAAGGAGAAGACGAGAGCGATTTGGTCTAAAATTTTTGTTAAACACATCCAAAGGTTGTACAGTGACATATTTCCAATACCTGAAAAAGTTGTAATGGCATGTTTCTAAATAGTTTAATAGTAACGGTATATTTCAAAACTAAAGATTTTATAATGGCATCTATCCAATTAACCCTAAAAAATTTGTCTCACGAATTAGCTCTCATTTATGTAATTAGTTTTGTAAGTAGTCAATATTTAATACTCTAAATTAGTATCTAAAACAAAGACTAAAGTTTAATCCCTGGATCCAAACACCACCTAACAAACAAAATAAAAAACTAAAAAAAAAACAATTACCACACGTGTCTGTAGTCTGAACTAACCCGCACTCATAGTATATGAACATTGCCATGAGCAGCAATGCTAAGTTGTGATTGCTGCCATCCGGTTTTTTTGGGTGGGTTGGGGGGCAGCTTATGACAGTTACAAACTTTGGAATATACCACGGTTCTCAAACTAATTTTTTTCTACATCAGCATTGCTTAGCTTGTTCGAAGCTATTTATTCGGTTCATAATAATATATAATTTTTAATTCATTACTACAAACGGGATTGCGTAGCCTATCGAATCATGCATTAAGGACAGAGCAAGTACTGCAATGCTACGAAAAGAATTCACTAATATCACAAGACCTTCCAAGATACTGAACCACAAGAACAAATGAATTATCTTGCAATAAAATTACGTCCCTACATTCCATCTCTTTCGAAAGATACTGACCAAACGCCAGTACAGTTAACAATACAACATTCAGTCTGAAAAAGGAAGTTCACTAGACTAATCTCTCGAGGTCATATTCATGTCACGGGAAGTAATTAAAGTGGGTCGCTCTATGTTTGCTAACTACTAATCAAAAGACAGCAGGTAAGATAACAAAAAAAGAAAAGGGATACTGAGGACTAAGGTAAATAGAACTGTCGTAAGATAAAATTGCAGCAAAATATAAACACATGCATCACATTGGATTCAACGAGCATTAAGCAACAAAACTTGATTCAGCAGAAAGCCAATCCTTGCTAGAGTAAATGTCAGACGATGATACTTGAATACATTGATATGGTCTGCTTAAATAAGCTCCTAATAACATTGAAATATTGAAGCACAGTAGACCAACAACTATAGTATCCAGTAGGTAGCAAGCAATTTAGAAAAGAGATGTTCCCTTGCCCTTCTTGTCTCCACCAATCTCGAAATGCTTGCACCTCTGCAGAGAACAATTATGCAAGTGAGCATCCAACACATCCAGCAAAATAATGATTCATGATAATTTTCAGCTCTGGAGTCTTGACAATGAAATAATACCTTGATGGGGTGCTGGGAGTAATGCTTGCAGCTTTGGCATTGCAGCTTCAGCACGATCTTCTTGGTGGTTTTTGCCTGAAAACAGGAACCATGTATCATAACATGAAAAATGCACAGCTGAAAGCCACATGCAATTAAAACTACGTGATGGTTATTGCCACATGCATTGTACAGACACATATCACTGCTACATCAATCATGACACCGTACGTTTCTAATGAACAGAGAGTCACACACAACACTGCATAATCATATATAAACTGTCACAGTACCTTCTTGTGGAAAACAGGCTTGGTCTGACCACCATATCCTGACTGCTTTCGGTCATAACGGCGCTTTCCCTGGGCAGACAGGCTGTCCTTACCCTTCTTGTACTGAGTGACCTTGTGAAGGGTGTGCTTCCTGCACTCCTTGTTCTTGCAGTAGGTCTTCTTGGTCTTGGGAACGTTCACCTATACAAAACAAATTTGAAACAAAAGCACTCAGCTTAACAAATACTGAATGTGGAATGGACATCGCAGGCCTATAAACAATAATCAAATGTGCATAATTTGAAGCAAATGTGTGTACAAATTTTTCAACAGTGAAGACACATTCAGCAAACCAATGGTTAAAACCTCAATTGGGTCTCAGGAAATATGCTTATGTTTGTCATCACAAGAATGTCAGGTCTCAAAGATTTCATGCCATCATCGGAGCCCATTAGTCAAAGCCAGACAAGATTACCGAACAATTTTAGAACAAGAGAAAAAAAAAGGAACTCATCCCATGTCCTCACAGGAAAATGATGAAAATGTTCATACTACAGAAGTTTAAGTGCTAATTAAATGACAACAATACACATATAATCTAGATATAACCCACTACAAAATTTTCAGCATGCAGAGGGTCAGCTCGGAAAATACGTCGATCTTCACGACAATAATCTGGTCTATACCCACGATTCAAAGCATTGAAGTCTTGAAGATAAAAATGACATAACTAGAACAATCACCGTGGACATCAACATGAACAAAAAAAATGTCGCTAAAGAGAAACCATCTCATGTTAAAATCCGCTAGACCCCAAAACGCATAATCAAAGAAACTAGCTACTCCTCTCCTCCGGCTCAAGATCCCCCCATCTACGGCAGATCAACATGAATAAAGAACGCATCCTACAAATTGTGAAACACCATGAGAAAGACGGCGCGCGGAGCCGTGGACTGGCACGAGGACAAGCACGCGTGCGATCTTCCCGTCGTGCGGCGGAGGGGAGGAGGAGGAGGAGGAGGAGGAGGGAGAAGCGTACCATTTTCGCGGCCGCGGGGAGGGGGCGGCTAGGGTTTCGGAGGCGAGCGGCGGTGGCGGGGGAGGAGAAGGAGAGAGAGGTCTGCAGCTTTATACGGGTGCGGTCTTGGAGGCTAGGGCTTTACTGGTGAGGGAGATAGAGCCCATGGGCCGTGGTGCCCCGGCTAAGCCCCGCAAGATATTGTGGGCTTGTGGCCGCACTTTCAGCCCATGGGCAGTAGTGCCCCGGATAAGCCCTGCGCGACATTGTGGCCGTTTGGTTGGTAAAAATTTTACTCGTGACAATAGTTTCTAGATTTTCAATGTATATGTGATTTGCACTATATATTTTTTTTACACAGATATGCATTATCCTTGTTCACAAAATCTTACTACTACCAGTTTATCGCAACTTAAAAATTCGTTTCTCGTTGATTCTTGTATAGTAGTATCTCCTGTAAGTGCAGTCAAATCTTGAAACCTTAAAAATTTAATAGACGTAAAAATATTTAAAATATGAAAAGTTATATTGGTATATTTTTTTTTATGAGAAACTCTCTTTCATAAAGTTATATTGGTAATGTTTTTTTAAATATATAGTTTAGTCTTTAGAGACTAGTGGCCCTGCGGCGGTCGCGGCGACGGATCTAGCCTCCCCCGTCGTCGCGGCGGCAGATCCGGCCTCCACCATCGTCGCAGCGGCCGAATCCGGCCCCGAGCTTATGGCGGCTAGCGGTGGAGAGGAGGAGGCCACGCCCCACCACCGCGGAGAGGCGGTAGAGGCGACGGCAGCCGGCGGCGGTGGAGAAGGGAGGAAGAAGGTGAAACCGAGAGAGAAGGAAGAGAGGCGGCGGAGGGGCCGCGCAGTGGGGGAAGGGAGAAGGGAGCGGTGGGGGTGGGGGACAGTAGATTTATATATTCGCCCAAAACATTTTTCGCAGTGGTCCTCCTTACCTACTGCCGGTGAAAATGAGATTTTTCGCTGGCGGACACTTAAGAGGTCCGCCTCGAAAAACTGGCAGACACTTAAGAGGTTCGTCTCGAAAAATAGAGTAGTTTTTTTAGGCATTTCTCTTAGCGTGGTTATCAGCAAAAATTGGTTTCTGCTGGTGGTCCGTAGCCCCCCACCTATTGTTATGTTTTTTTGGCGGTTTTTGCATATGGACGCCAGCGTAAAATATAGGGTAACATCACGAAAAATCGTTTTTTATAGTGTAAAATTGTTATGATGATAAAATGTGTATTGCGGACTATGCTGATGATGTCACTCATCTGAAAACAGAGATAGTAACAAGGAGTGAACACGTTACATATGCCCACTTAACCCTTACGAAAATGTATTCGAGAATTACTAATCTAAATGCTCCACTACGTACAGTACATCGTCGGAGATTAATTGTGTGATGGGCCACAAGAATGAGCTGCCATGCACTCGACTGAATTCTGATGGAACAGGAACACCATACAGTATTGGTACCGGCGACAGCAACAGCAATTGGTTTCTGCTTCTCGCGTTGACAATTTCACTATGCTAACCACCACTTTGTCCACTAAAACGCGCTCATGACCAATGTCAAATCAAACCCGTGGATGAACGTGCACGGCCCGAGTACTCCACCAAGCAAGATTCAGCTGCCGAGTGAAAGAAGAAAAAGCTATTTGCAATTGCTCAAATTAAATCACCTTGGGAACAGATGCAAACCTACAGCTAACACAGTTCGTTACGGTCCTAACCGTATGTTTTTTATACCTCGAGAAATACCAAGTTTTATATAAAAGAAATGGTACCTTCTAATACCAAGAACAGTAAAATTACTCCCAAGTCCAAATACTACAATCCTTCTAAAATAAGTATGATTTTATATTCAAATTTTGTTTTAAAATAAGTACAATCCCGTACTACTTATCACATCAGTTCATCTTATCCTCAATTGGAAGAGTACGAAGCCGGCACGACCCCCGCGTCGCCCTCTCACGCGAGCGGCACAGGGGGTGAACCCTAGCCCCCGCCGCCCCCTCCCTTCCTCTCCCCCCTCGCCGCCGCCGGAGCGCGCCACCGGAGTTCCGCGCGGCCAACTGTGAGGGCGGCGGCGAGGCCATTCCTCGGCGACGCGACGGCTCAGCGTGAGGATGATGACGCGGCGCGTGATAGGTGGGGGCTGACATCAGCGCGGCGCGAAGCTTCGGATCTGGCGCCCCCGTGGCTGGATCTGGCACCCTGCTTTTGGACCTGGCCGGAGGAGAGCAACAATGCCGTGCGCGGTGGCGCGATGGGGCGTGGTGGAGGCGGTGCGGCGGCGTGTGTCCCGGCGACGGTGTGCTGTTCCCGGCGAAGGAGCGGTCGTGCTCCTTGGCCGCGGAGGGCAGTCGCTAGCGGTGCTGTCTGGCGACGTGTCGTCCGTGAGGGCGGTGACGGGCCTCGGCTTGGCTCCTTGTAGTCCCCCCCTCAGCATTTTCAGTACAGGAAAATTACAATACATTAGATTTAGGGTGCAATCTTTTCAGCTTATGAACTTCGGGATATGCATACCACTGTTCTCAAACTAGAAATTTTCTACATCAGCATTGCCTGGCTCGTTCTAAGCTATTTATTCGGTTTATAATAACTAGCATGGTGGCCTGCGCATATTGCGCGGCTAGCATCATTATATTTTCTCTCATATAATAGCATATATGTTTTCTCATTATATTATTATAATATATTACAATGACAACATAATTTTAAATTTTACAATAACTTTTCAAAACTACTAATGTGTAATAACTACTCTAGTCTCCTCTTCTAATATTTCTTATTTTTTAATTCTGAATTTCAGCTATTTCTAAATTGTATTTCTATATGGACTCTGTTTTTTCTTTTTCTCTGATTAATGTGAGAATTTCTATGCCATGAGAGCGAACCTGAAAGCTCCTTTTTATTCCGAATTTTAGTTGGTTTTAAATTCCAATATGAACTCTATATTCTACTTCTAATATTCCTTATTTTTTAATTCCAAATTTCTATTTTTTTTCTTAATTGTATTTCTATAAGGACTCTATACTCTACTTCTAATATTTCTTATTTTTAATTCCGAATTTCGGTTATTTCCTAATTGTATTTCTATATGTACTCTATACTCTACTTCTAATATTCCTTATTTTTAATTTCGAATTTCAGTTATTTCCTAATTGTATTTCTATATGGACTCTAGTCTCCACTTCTAATATTCCTTATTTTTTAATTCCGAATTTCAACTATTTCTAAATTGTATTTCTATATGGACTCTAGTCTCCTCTTTTAATATTTCTTTTTTTTAATTCCGAATTTCAGCTATTTCTAAATTGTATTTCTATATAGATTCTGCTTTTTCTTTTTCTCCGATTAATGTGAGAATTTCTAGATCATGAGAGCGAACGTGAAGGCTCCTTTTTTTTTTCCGAATTTTAGTTAGTTTGAAATTCCTATATGGACTCTATACTCTACTTCTAATATTTCTTATTTTTAATTCCGAATTTCTATTTTTTTTTCTTAATTGTATTTCTATATGGACTCTATGCTCTACTTCTAATATTCCTTATTTTTAATTCCGAATTTCAGTTATTTCCTAATTGTATTTCTATATGGACTCTATACTCTACTTCTAATATTCCTTATTTTTAATTCCGAATTTCACTTATTTCCTAATTGTATTTCTATATGGACTCTATACTCTACTTCTAATATTTCTTATTTTTAATTCCGAATTTCAACTATTTCCTAATTGTATTTCTATATGGACTCTATACTCCTATTCTAATATTTCTTTTTTTAATTCCGAATTTCAGCTATTTCTAAAGTGTATTTCTATATAGACTCTAGTCTCCTCTTCTAATATTCCTTATTTTTAATTCTGAATTTCAGCTATTTCTAAATTGTATTTCTATATGAACTCTGTTTTTTTCTTTTTCTTCGATTAATGTGAGAATTTCTAGGCCATGGGAGCGAACGTAGAGGCTCCTTTTTTTTTTCCGAATTTTAGTTAGTTTTAAATTCCTATATGGACTCTATACTCTACTTCTAATATTTCTTATTTTTTAATTCTGAATTTCTATTTTTTCTTAATTGTATTTCTATATGGACTTTATACTCTACTTCTAATATTCCTTATTTTTAATTCAGAATTTCTATTATTTCCTAATTGTATTTCTATATGGACTCTATACTCTACTTCTAATATTCTTTATTTTTAATTCCGAATTTCTATTATTTCCTAATTGTATTTCTATATGGACTCTATACTCCTCTTCTAATATTCCTTATTTTTTAATTCCAAATTTCAACTATTTCTAAAGTGTATTTCTATATGAACTCTAGTCTTCTCTTCTAATATTCCTTATTTTTTAATTCCGAATTTCAGCTATTTCTAAATTGTATTTCTATATGGACTCTGTTTTTTTTTCTCCGATTAATGTGAGAATTTCTAAGCCATGAGAGTAAACGTGGAGGCTCCTTTTTCTATTCCTTTAATTATATAATAGATTTAGGAGTGTAATATTTAATTCATTACTATAAACAATTGTCAATAACCTATCCAAATCATGCATGAAGAATGGAACAAGTACTACAATGCTACGAAAACAGTTCACTAACATCACAAGACCAAACATTGCTACGAAAACAGTTTCACTAACGCCACAAGACCAAACATTAGTATCGACCTTCTAAGATAACAATCACAAGACCAAGGCCTATCTTACAATTCACCTCCATCCATGGTATTCCATACCTTCTATCTCATGACGAAGATATTGAACAAAACATAGTATAGTTAACCATATACGAAATTCAGTCTGAAAAATGGAAGTTCATCAGACTAACCTCTCAGGGATTCATGTCACAGGAATTCGTTTAAGTGGGTCGCTCTAGGATTGCAAAAATAGGTAAGATAACGAAAAACAGACACCGAGTACTTAGGGAGATAAAACTGCCATAAGACAAAATTGCAGTGCAACATAAACACATGCATCACATTGGATTCAATGAGCATTAAGCAACAAAACTTGATTCAGCAGAAAGCCAATCCTTGCTAGAGTACTTGAATACATGATATGGTCTGCTTAAATTAAGCTCCTAATAACATTGAAGTATGAAGCACAGTAGACCCACAACTTCAGTATCCAGTAGGTAGTTTAGAAAAGAGACGTTCCCTTGCCCTTCTTGTCTCCACCAATTTCAAAATGCTTGCACCTCTGCACAGAATAATTATGTAAGTGAGCATCCAACACATCTAAAAAGATACTGATTCATGAGAATTTTCAGCTTGAATCTTCACATTGCAAAAATACCTTGATGGGGTGCTGGGAGTAATGCTTGCAGCTTTGGCATTGCAGCTTCAGCACAATCTTCTTGGTGGTTTTTGCCTGAAAACAGGAACCATGTATCATAACATGAAAAATGCACAGCTGAAAGTCATATACTTTAAAACTACGTGATGGTTATTACCACATGTTTGCATTGAACAGACACATCAATCATGACACCATATGTTTCTAATGAAGAGAGACAGTAAGACACAACACTGCGCAATCACATATAAACTGTCACAGTACCTTCTTGTGGAAAACAGGCTTGGTCTGACCACCATATCCTGACTGCTTACGGTCATAACGGCGCTTTCCCTGGGCAGACAGGCTGTCCTTACCCTTCTTGTACTGAGTGACCTTGTGAAGGGTGTGCTTCCTGCACTCCTTGTTCTTGCAGTAGGTCTTCTTGGTCTTGGGAACGTTCACCTATATACATAACAAATATGAAACAAATTTAACAAATACTGGTTGTTGGAAAGCACATAGCAGGCCTATAAACAACACAATCAAATGCGCATAATCAGAAGCAAATGTGTATACATATTTTTCAACAGCAAAGACACATTCAGCAGACCAATGGTTAAAAACTCAATTGGGTCCTCAGGAAATATGCTTATGTTTGTCATCACAAGAATGTCAGGTCTCAAAGATTTCATGCCATCATCGGAGCCCATCAGTCAAAGCCACAGACAAGATTACCGAACAATTTTAGCACAACAAGAGAAGAAAAAAAGGAATTCATCCCATGTCCTCAAAGGAAGATGAAAATGTTTACTACAGAAGTTAATAGCTACACATAATCCAGATATAACCCATTACACAAATTTTCTGCGCTTCAGAGCATGCAAAGGACCAGCTCAGAGAATCCGTCCATCTTAACAACAATAATCTGGTCTCTACCCACAAATCAAAAACAATAATACAAAGCATTGAAGATAAAAAAACCATAACTAGTACAATCACCGTGGATATCATTATATCAACAAGAAAAAAAGAAATCGCTAAAGAGAAACTATCAATCTCCGTGTTAAATCTCTAAATCCCGAAACCGCATCAACAAGAAGCTAGCTACTCCTCCGGCTCAAGATCGCCCCCATCTACAGCAGATCAACATGAATAAAGAATGCAATCCCCCTACAAATCGACCAGAGCAGGGTGCCGTGGACTGGCACGAGGACACACACGCGCATGATCTTGCCGTCGTGCGACGGAGAGAGGCGGACGGGGAGGAGGGAGAAGCGTACCATTTTGGTGGCCGCGGAGGGGAAAGGGGGAGCTAGGGTTTCGGAGGCGCTCCCTTGTCTGGTCGAGACGCTGCGGCGAGTGGCGGCGGGGAGGGGAAGGAGAAGGTCTGCGGCTTTATACGGCTGAGCTCCTGGAGGCTAGGGCTTACTGGTGGGGGAGAGAGCGTGTGCTGCTTTGTGGGCCAGAATGCGCATCCCATGGGCCATGGGCCGTGATGCGTTGCCTTATAGTTGGAATAAGTTCACCTGATGTCCCTCAACTTTACACCGAGTTTGTTTGTCATCCCTTATCCTCAATACCACAAATCTTCACCCCTAAATATACAAAACCGTTCAATTTATATCCCATGGCAGTATAGATGTCTTGGTTTCGCTGGCGTGACATCTTAGTCAACAAAATAGAAATAAAATAATACGTGAGTCTCACATGTAAGTGAAATAGAAAGAAAATGTGAGACCCACCCATCGGCAACGCTGTCGTTGGGATGCCGCAGCCCGAGGACGTTGTGGAACGACTCCGGTGAGGGCACGAAGACGGTGAAGGCGGGGTCTCCCGGTGAAACCCCAAGCGCATCAGCGTCATCCTCTCCCGGCCTACTCCGTCCTCCGCGTCATCGTCCCCTACAGCATCCGCCGTCGGTTCCATCTGCCGTCGTCCTCTACACCCCACCGACGCCACCTCGCTCTGCCCGACACAGCACAGCGACGCCCACACCACACCCTCTCTGAGGCGTCGTCGCTCGCCCGTCGCCTGCTACCCCTTGCCTGCTCCGCACACCGCTGCTGCCTCCTACCGTCGCCTGCTCGCCCACCCGCTGGCCTCTCAGGCTAGGGGAAGAAGGGAAGAGGAGAAGAGAGAAGAAGAAAAAAAAAGAAAAAAGAAAAGAGGAGAAGACAGGACGCTGACATGTGGGTCCCACCGTATGCCACATCAGCAAAACCGGGGAAAATGGATCAATATTGTCTTGGGATCTTTTTTGCACGGTTTGTGATAGTTGAGGGGTAGAGATTTTTGCTATCGCGGATTGGGGACCGCAGACAAACTCAACATAAAGTTGAGGGACGTCAGGTGAACTTATTCCCTTGTAGTTAAGGAAGTGACTTTATCCCTCAAATAAGTTCACAATAGGTCCCTTACTTTGTCGCTCCGTATGTTTTTGGATCTTTTTCGCACGGTTTATGATTAGTTAACTTATTCCCTTATAGTCGCTAAGTCTGTTTTTCATCCTTATCCGAAAACCATATACTCGCTCCGTATTTTAATGTATGACACCGTTGACTTTTCGAATAATGTTTGACTATTCGTCTTATTCAAATTTTTTGTGCAAATATAAAAATATTTATGTCATACTTAAAGAATATTTGATGATAAATCAAGCCATAATAAAATAAATGATAATTACATAATTTTTTGAATAAGACGAATGGTCAAGCGTTGATTAAAAAGTCAACGGCGTCATACATTAAAATATGGAGGGAGTACAACCCAACTATGCAAACGAGGTCCCTCGATAAAAATGTCTCCGGTTTTGGCTGACATGGCGCCTTCTTCAACTATGCAAACGAGCTCCCTCGGTAGCAATGTCTCTGGTTTTGGCTGACATGACGCCTTTGACTAGGGGTCTTTGTCCCACGTGCTATTGAGATGACGCTTACGTGGCTATTTGATAAAAATAATAAGGGGGTGTTTGGAAGGGACTAAAATTTTTTAGCACTTTCCAAATTGGATGTTTGTACACTAATTAGAAGTATTAAATATAGACTATTAACAAAACATATCCATAATCTTGGACTAATTCGCGAGACGAATCTATTAAGCCTAATTAATCCATGATTAGCCTATGTGATGCTACAGTAAACATTCTCTAATTATGAATTAATTAGGCTTAAAAAATTTGTCTCGCGAATTAGCTCTCATTTATTTAATTATTTTTGTAAGTAATCTATATTTAGTCTAAATTAGTGTCTAAACATAAAGGCTAAAGTTTAATCCATGGACCCAAACACCACCTAACGAACAAAATAAAAAACAATTACCATAGGTGTCTGAAGTCTGAACTAACCTGCACTTATAGTATACGAACATTGCTATGAGAAGCAATGCTAAGTTGTGATTGCTGCCATCCGGTTTTTTATGGGTGGGTTGGGGAGGTTTTGGGGGGGGGGATATACCACGGTTCTCGAACTATTTTTTTTCTACATCAGCATAGCTTAGCTTGTTCGAAGCTATTTATTCGGTTCATAATAAATTATAATTTTTAACCATCTGACAGCTTAAAAAAACGAATGATGGAAGGCTCATAAATCTGTCAAACGATAGTTAGCGATTCCAAATTTTTAAAATTCATTGCTACAAACGAGATTGCGTAGCCTATTGAATCATGCATTAAGGACGGAGCAAGTACTGCAATGCTACGAAAAGAATTCACTAACATCACAAGACCTTCCAAGATACTGAACCACAAGAACAAATGAATTATCTTGCAATAAAATTACGTCCCTACATTCAATCTCTTTCGAAAGATACTGACCAAACGCCAGTACAGTTAACAATACAACATTCAGTCTGAATAAGTTCACTAGACTAATCTCTCGAGGTCATATTCATGTCACGGGAAGTCATTAAAGTGGGTCGCTCTATGTTTGCTAACTACTAATCAACAGACAGCTGGTAAGATAACAAAAAAAAAGGGATACTGAGGACTAAGGGAAATAGAACTGTCGTAAGATAAAATTGCTGCAAAATATAAACACATGCATCACATTGGATTCAATGAGCATTAAGCAACAAAACTTGATTCAGCAGAAAGCCAATCCTTGCTAGAGTAAATGTCAGACGATGATACTTGAATACATTGATATGGTATGCTTAAATAAGCTCCTAATAACATTGAAATATTGAAGCACAGTAGACCAACAACTTTAGTATCCAGTAGGTAGCAAGCAATTTAGAAAAGAGATGTTCCCTTGCCCTTCTTGTCTCCACCAATCTCGAAATGCTTGCACCTCTGCAGAGAACAATTATGCAAGTGAGCATCCAACACATCCAGCAAAATAATGATTCATTTTCAGCTCTGGAGTCTTGACAATGAAATAATACCTTGATGGGGTGCTGGGAGTAATGCTTGCAGCTTTGGCATTGCAGCTTCAGCACGATCTTCTTGGTGGTTTTTGCCTGAAAACAGGAACCATGTATCATAACAAGAAAAATGCACAGCTGAAAGCCACATGCAATTAAAACTACGTGATGGTTATTGCCACATGCATTGTACAGACACATAGCACTGATACATCAATCATGACACCATATGTTTCTAATGAACAGAGAGTCACACACAACACTGCATAATCATATATAAACTGTCACAGTACCTTCTTGTGGAAAACAGGCTTGGTCTGACCACCATATCCTGACTGCTTACGGTCATAACGGCGCTTTCCCTGGGCAGACAGGCTGTCCTTACCCTTCTTGTACTGAGTGACCTTGTGAAGGGTGTGCTTCCTGCACTCCTTGTTCTTGCAGTAGGTCTTCTTGGTCTTGGGAACGTTCACCTATACAAAACAAATTTGAAACAAAAGCAGTCAGCTTAACAAATACTGAATGTGGAATGGACATCGCAGGCCTATAAACAACAGTCGAATGTGCATAATTTGAAGCAAATGTGTCCAAATTTTTCAACACTGAAGACACATTCAGCAAACCAATGGTTAAAACCTCAATTGGGTCCTCAGGAAATATGCTTATGTTTGTCATCACAAGAATGTCAGGTCTCAAAGATTTCATGCCATCATTGGAGCCCATCAGTCAAAGCCAGACAAGATTACCGAACAATTTTAGAACAAGAAGAGAAAAAAAAAGGAACTCATCCGATGTCCTCACAGGAAGATGATGAAAATGTTTATGCTACAGAAGTTTAAGTGCTAATTGAATGACAACAATACACATATAATCTAGATATAACCCACTACAAAATTTTCAGCATGCAGAGGGTCAGCTCGGAAAATACGTCGATCTTCACGACAATAATCTGGTCTATACCGGCGATTCAAAGCATTTAAGTCTTGAAGATAAAAATGACATAACTAGAACAATCACCGTGGACATCAACATGAACAAAAAAAAATGTCGCTAAAGAGAAACCATCTCATGTTAAAATCCGCTAGACCCCAAAACGCATAATCAAAGAAACTAGCTACTCCTCCGGCTCAAGATCCCCCCATCTACGGCAGATCAACATGAATAAAGAACGCATCCTACCCATCGAGAAAGACCATGAGAAAGACGGCGCGCGCGGAGCCGTGGACTGGCACGAGGACAAGCACGCGTGCGATCTTCCCGTCGTGCGGCGGAGGGGAGGAGGAGGAGGAGGAGGAGGAGGGAGAAGCGTACCATTTTCACGGCCGCGGGGAGGGGGCGGCTAGGGTTTCGGAGGCAAGTGGCGGCGGCGGGGGAGGAGAAGGAGAGAGAGGTCTGCGGCTTTATACGGGTGCGGTCTTGGAGGCTAGGGCTTTACTGGTGAGGGAGATAGAGCCCATGGGCCGTGGTGCCCCGGCTAAGCCCCGCAAGATATTGTGGGCTTGTGGCCGCACTTTCAGCCCAAGGGCAGTAGTGCCCCGGATAAGCCCTGCGCGACATTGTGGCCGTTTGGTTGGTAAAAATTTTACTCTTGTGACAATAGTTTCTAGATTTTCAATGTACATGTGATTTGCACTATATATTTTTTTACGCAGATATGCATTATCCTTGTTCACAAAATCTTACTACTACCAGTTTATCGCAACTTAAAAATTCGCTTCTCGTTGATTCTTGTATAGTAGTATCTCCTATAAGTGCAGTCAAATCTTGAAACCTTAAAAATTTAATAGACGTAAAAATATTTAAAATATGAAAAGTTATATTGGTATATTTTTATGAGAAACTCTCTTTCATAAAGTTATATTCGTAATGTTTTTTAAATATATAATTTAGACTTTAGAGACTAGTGGCCCTGCGGCGATCGCGGCGACGGATCTGGTCTCCCCCGTCGTTGCGGCGGCAGATCCGGCCTCCGCCGTCGTCGCAGCGGCCGAATCCGGCCCGAGCTCATGGCGGCTAGCGGCGGAGAGGAGGAGGCCACGCCCCACCGCCGCGGAGAGGCGGTAGAGGCGACGGCAGCCGACGGCGGTGGAGAAGGGAGGAAGAAGGTGAAACCGAGAGAGAAGGAAGAGAGGCGGCGGAGGGGCCACGCGGTGGGGGAAGGGAGAAGGGAGCGGTGGGGGTGGGGGACGGTAGATTTATATATTCGCCCAAAACTTTTTTTGCAGCGGTCCTCCTTACCTACTGCCAGTGAAAATGAGATTTTTCGCTGGCGGACGCCTAAGAGGTCCGCCTAGAAAAACTGGCGGACACTTAAGAGGCCCGCCTCGAAAAATAGAGTAGTTTTTTAGGCGTTTCTCTTAGCGTGGTTACCAGCAAAAATTGGTTTTTGCTGGTGGTCCGTAGCCCCCCACCTATTGTTATGTTTTTGTTGACGGTTTTTGCATATGGCCGCCAGCGTAAATTATAGGGTAACATCATGAAAAATCGTTTTTTATAGTGTAAAATTGTTATGATGATAAAATGTGTATTGCGGACTATGCTGATGATGTCACTCATCTGAAAACAGAGATAGTAACAAGGAGTGAACACGTTACATATGCCCACTTAACCCTTACGAAAATGTATTCGAGAATTACTAATCTAAATGCTCCACTACGTACAGTACATCGTCGGAGATTAATTGTGTGATGGGCCACAAGAATGAGCTGCCATGCACTCGACTGAATTCTGATGGAACAGGAACACCATACAGTATTGGTACCGGCGACAGCAACAGCAATTGGTTTCTGCTTCTCGCGTTGACAATTTCACTATGCTAACCACCACTTTGTCCACTAAAACGCGCTCATGACCAATGTCAAATCAAACCCGTGGATGAACGTGCACGGCCCGAGTACTCCACCAAGCAAGATTCAGCTGCCGAGTGAGAGAAGAAAAAGCTATTTGCAATTGCTCAAATTAAATCACCTTGGGAACAGATGCAAACCTACAGCTAACACAGTTCGTTACGGTCCTAACCGTATGTTTTTTATACCTCGAGAAATACCAAGTTTTATATAAAATAAATGGTACCTTCTAATACCAAGAACAGTAAAATTACTGCCAAGTCCCAAATACTACATCCTCCTAAAATAAGTATGATTTTATATTCAAATTTTGTTTTAAAATAAGTACAATCTCATACTACTTATCACATCAGTTCATCTTATCCTCAATTGGAAGAGTACGAAGCCGGCACAACCCCGCGTCGCCCTCTCGCGCGAGCGGCACAGGGGGTGAACCCTAGCCCCCGCCGCCCCCTCCCTTCCTCTTCTCCCCTCGCCGCCGCCGGAGCGCACCACCGGAGTTCCGCGCTGCCAGCTGTGAGGGCGGCGGCGAGGCCATTCCTCGGCAACACGACGGCTCAGCGCGAGGATGATGACGTGGCGCGTGATGGGTGGGGGCTGACATCGGCGCGGCGCGAAGCTTCTGATCTGGCGCCCCCGTGGCTGGATCCGGCACCCTGCTTCTGGACCTGGCCGGAGGAGAGCGACAATGCCGTGCGCGGTGGCACGATGGGGCGTGGTGGAGGCGGTGCGGCGGCGTGTGTCCCGGCGACGGTGTGCTGTTCCTGGCGAAGGAGCGGTCGTGCTCCTTGGCCGCGGAGGGCAGTCGCCAGCGGTGCTGTCTGGCGACGTGTTGTCCGTGGGGGCGGTGTCTGGCCTCGGCTTGGCTCCTTGTAGCCCCCCCCTCGGCCAGCGATGAAGGCTAGGCCCGGCGCCCCCGACTGGTGGCGTGCAGATCCGCGCTCCTAGCGGCCGGATCTGGTCGAATCCGTGGCACCGGTGGCAGGCTCTGGCCTCGGACCCCCCTCTCCCCGCGGGACCGGTGACCTTGCCCAACACCTTCTTCCATCCCCATCCCTCCTCCTCCCTCCTCTTTGAGGCGCCCTTGAGCTAGCCAACGAGCTCCTTGCCATAACATGCTTGGCTCTGATCCGTCAATTAGGATTCGCTAGTGCCTCTCCCTCTCTCTAGATCTCCTTTTGGCATGCTCCTTGATTGATGGATTAGGTCAGGTCTTTTATGTTAGTGCCTACGGTTTTCTTTGGCTTGAATGGCTACTATTCTTGCAGCCTTCCCTGTTGACGCGGTTGACGTTCTTTCAGCTGTAGGATTCCCCCCTCTACCACTTATCTTTTGTCCAGCTCCCTCTTCGTCTCCACCCTTTTCCTTGGATTGTCCTCAACCACATTGTTCGGCGGCCCTCCCTCCTTTGAGGCTTCCTTCCCTAAAAGGGCGTTGGAGGGCGTGGAACTAGCTAGCAATTTGTTATAGTCGGATTGAAGAAGACTCGATGCGGGCGGTCTCTATGGCCGCAACCTTTAGTGGCCCTCCCTTCTCTGAGGCTTCCTTCCCCCAAATGGTGTCGGCGGGCACTGATCCAAGCAGCAACAAGATTAAGTTGGATTTTGACGGCTTAATGCGGGTGGTTTATGACTTCCTCAGTCTTTTGGTTGCCGTTAATCCATAGCTGACATGCTTGTGGCAAAAAGGCCCTCCGGCGTGGACTCTGGCGTTTCCAAGTTTGCATAACGATATGGTTGTTGATGAGCTAGGGTGTTAGCTTTAGGTTGCTCTGGTTTTCGGTTGGGTTTCTTGCAAGTGCAAACTTCAATTGCTGTTATTTTGGGAAGGTGGCCTCTCTTTTGTATTCTCTTCTCAGGACTCCCCGTGTATTTTTTGCTATTATCCTCCAGGGTTCCTGCACTTGCGTAGGTGAAGCCTGCCCTGTGTAATTTCGTTTGACGCAATATATTCAGGTGGGGAATCTCTCCCTCCTGGTGAATTAGTCAAAAAAAAATCTTATCCTCAATTACCCTCGCACTTTCCATCATCTCTCGTTTAATATAGAACATTTAGGTAATTTTCTCTTCTTATTTTTCTCTCACGTCTAAAAATGCTCTTATATTAGGATAGAAGTAGTACAAGTATCCCTGGAGGCCTGGACATATACTTAGTTTGAAACGAGGGACTATGTAGATTTTAGTTCATTTAGACTTTAGATGAACTGATCGAATTAATGGTTTCCCCGCAAAAAAAAAAAATTAAACTGATCGAATGGTTCGATGAGTACCCATATCTAAAACTGGTGTTAAAAAAACGGTGAGGATTATATTACATGGATCGGTTAAACTCCTACTCTACTATACACTGTGACGAGGGTTACAGACAACATCTCACGGTTTCCTCTTCTGCCCTTGCCTGCACTGCACAAGGGAAGGGATAACACCTCGACAACGACGAACTCAACTTGATCCTTTTTCTTTCTTTTTTTTTTCTTTTTTCTTTCACCTATATGTACATGCAAGAGCTCAGTTCTGCTCAGCCATGGCCATGGCCGGCCTCCATTACCGGGAGAGAAAGGTCAGGAGGAAGACGACGAAGGGGAGGGAAGGAAGGGCTCGTGTACGTTTTTTTGCCTAGCATTTTGTCAGTGTAAGGGTGTAGAGTCTTCAGAAGTCTATGATGGGCTCGCCGACGGTGAGGTTGCGCTCCACCGTCCACGGCAGGTTGAAGAGCTTGGCCGTGATGAACTTGAAGATCTTGTTCACGTTGATGTTGTGCGTCGAGCTGGAGAAGAAGAGGGTCGCCTTCATCGCTCTCGCGTATGCCCTGGCCTGAAATTTCAGAAAAAAAAAATCCTCCATCAGAAACAAGAATACAACGGAAAAAAACCTTCTAACTTACTGTCCTCCGACTTTAAGGGACTGACATATGGAGCCCATAACTCGTGGACCCACATGTCAGAGGGCATTACATCAGAGGAGTTTCTTTCGAATACAACATGTTTTTTTAACAACAGTAAACCAAATGCGAAGCATATGGTTTTGTGTTCTCGAATTCTTTGTCAGAATTAAACCTGGTCAAACAGTAGTTTCTAGGATTAGTTACAAAAACTTTTCAGTGAACTGATATTCACTGTGGCTGAAAAGAAACGCAACTACATTTTCAAGCATGAGGGCTCCCAGTAGCACGAGGAGTTATTTTCGGTTAGTTGTGATGTAGCTTTTCCTTGCTTTTAGCATGTCGAGTGATTAGTGACCATCGATCTACATTCTGTATGTTGTAAGGCCCACAGGGATCGATGATCGTCGTATGGTTTGGACAAGATGCAAACAAATGGGCACAAACAAAACAGAAATTATATCCATTGCCTAATAAATTTTCTATCGTTTGACTCGATCATCCCGGCTGTTGTTAGTGGTGACTGGCGAGCCTCCTTCCCCGGAGACGAAGACGAAGACAAGACGTGTTTGGGCCTACTTAACGAATGCTCCCCCTGATCAACCAAGGTCCACTGTATTCAATGTTGCAATAGTAATAGGCATTCATATATGGTGCTATCAGGTCAGCACGGTCTGCACAAACATAATTGGTAGCATGCTGTACTCGATTCAGGTTTGATTTGGGCTCTCTTGTCGTTTTCACATAGGTATTCTTAATTAATTGCAGATGCGATCAAGCTAAAAAAATTTCGTGTTCATGGCCTACAGAAAGAAGCTCAAATCTTTGATGAGAAAATTTTGATTCAGTAGCAGTTTTCAGAAATCTGAACCTCAAAATGGGAGTTTTCAGGGGATGGTTGGCTTTCGAATATTTCTGATTTGCTATTAGCACTTGGTAGCCATGAAAAGGCTAATTCAAGATTAAAGTTCTGACCTATCTGGTTAATTTGCAGCGTTTGAGATAAAAGAAACATGTGTAGCCCAAACCCATATCGTCAGAACCAAGAAAAGGTCTCATCTTTCTATGCTAACAAACATTGGAGATGCTGAAGGCTGCATATCCAAGAACCAAAGAAAGGCAAGGGGGAACAATATTTTGATTGCAAGAAACTATTAATAAACGTACCTCGTTAACGATGGTCCATTGCATCTCAAGAGGAAGCTGAGCGAAGTCATCAAACTTCGTCCCAATTAGGATTGGAATAGCCGTCTGTCAGAAAACAAAAGAGAGATAAAAACTGTTCAGCTACAATACCAAGAACCAAGGACACCATTTCACTGTTCAGCTAGAGCACCGATAAAAACATATGAACAAGTATCAGCATTACTAAATTGTTCAGAAACAGTGATCTGCAGGCATGCTCTGACATATGTTGGATTGTGGGAACCCATCTGCTAGTTACTGTTTTAGCAGCAACTTGTAATACTGTAACAATTTTTCAGTGCACAGTCTACCTATGGTTCAGCTATAATCCTAAAGAACACATCCAGAAAAAATGAAAACCACACGATTATAGAAGAACAATGTACCAACCTTATTCCATTTCCTTGCCCTCTCATACCAATCTATAACACTGCATCAAGCAAAAGATAATATAATCAACAATAAGTACTACAGATATTGAAAGTTCTAATTACTCAAAATCTGATCCAAGATTATGATGCTGTGAGACTGATAGGAACACTAACTTAGTAAGCGTGCACCGGCTCGTGAGATCGAACATGTACAAGATCGCCACGGCGTCCTTACACGCGATCGGGACGTGGTCGAGGAACTGGCTGTCTCCTGCATTCCATCACACAACAAAAACTCATCAAACAAAGCAAGTTTAGGCACACCAAAAAAAAAATCTGATTCTTCAACCAATGCAAGTATAAAGGGGGAAACAAATCCTGCATTTGTAGTTCATATGCTTGTGCAAATTACCTGCCACATCCCAAATGCTGAAGGCAATTCGAGCTCCCCGAACTGCCAAGGTCTTGTCCATCAGATTCAGGCCCGTCATCTGCAAGCCGTTCTGCTCCTCGTCGTCCCCAACATACTTAACCTGCAGAATCAATTACCCAATAGATTAATTTACTTTTTACTATCTGGATTGACTATTCTGAATTCAAGAAGAAATGATTCTTGTGTTCGATTGCTGACTCGAGTTTCAGAATTTGATTGCTTCTTGGTTGAAAGAGGAGGAGGAGATGGGAGAAGTTACCATGAAGCTGGTCTTGCCGATCTGGCAATCGCCGAGCAGGCTGACCTTGAGGCTGACGACGTCCTCGACATCGGCCGCGTCGCGGTCGGCGGCGGCAGCGTCGTCGTCGGCGTCCCTGGGGAGCGGGGAGAGGACGGCACCGGCGGCGACGCCCTGCGGCGGCGGGCCGAGCCTGCGGTAGCGGCCGCCGCCGCCGCCGGCGCAGGAGGAGCAGGCGAGGAGCTGGTCCCAGACGAGGCGGACGACCCTGCTGATGACGGCGAGGCGGAGCAGGCGGCCCCAGCGGAGGTCGAGCCGCAGCACGGCCGGCCTGCCCCTCCCCCTCCTCCTCCCGCCGCCGCCCCCACCCTGCGCGCAGAGCTGCGTGACCGCCTTGGTCACCTCCATGGCTGCCGCCGTGTTCGTCGCCGTGTTCGTCGCCGTCGTCGTCGTCATGGCGTCTCGGCCATGCACGCCTGGGACAAAAGAACGCGCCACGGACGAACACCTCCCCCACCACCGTGTTATTATCGGCCGCGGGGGGGAAGGCGCTAAACTAAGAATCACGCACGCGCGCACGCGCGTGTTCTTGGCTGTCTCGTCTCGTCTCTCTCTCTCTCGCCTGGTTATAGCCGAGGAGGCGCCATGGATGGCATGCTTCGATGGACAGCGTCTTGCAATCCTCTTTCTCCTCGTCTTGCCTACGTGGGGGGTTCTTGGGTTTTCTCGCCGCGCAGGCGGAGGCGGGTCGGTGTGGGTGTCGTTTACGGGTAGGAGGAGGGTGCGCGCGTGGGCGAGGAGGTGGTGGACGCCATGTTTTTGTGTTGGTGATGGCTTGCGTCGCGTCTCGCGTCGCGCGCGGCGCCGTGCGCGCGAGAGAAATGGGAATGGGATGGGGATGAGGAGAAGAGAGGTGGGTGGTTGACCCGTTTGGCGCCGCGGTCTTGCGGAGATGGACGTGACGGCTGCGATTTTTGTCCACGTTTCGTCTCCATGGGGATTTTTTTTCTTTTTATTTTCTTATTATATTATTCTTATTATCTTTTTTTTTTTGAGAAACTAGCTTTGACCCTGCCGATTCTTACGTGCGCTTCTTCTTTTCGCTGTTCCGGGTCGTCTTACATGGAGGAGTCCAACACGACGGCTATGGTCCATCTTTTTGCTGATTACTCCGTATATCAGTACTTCCTCTCCCTCTATTTCTAAATATTTAACACCATTAACTTTTTATCACATATTTGACCGTTCGTCTTATTCAAAAACTTTTGTGAAATATGTAAAACTATATATATACATATAAGTATATTTAACAATTAATCAAATGATAGGAAAAAAAATAATTACTTAAATTTTTTAAATAAGACGAACGGTTAAACATATTTAAAAAAGTCAACAGCGTCAAATATTTAGAAACGGAGGGAGTATTACCCTATTCGTTGTAAAATTTTCTAGAAACCCGATACGAACACATATATGTAGATTCTACTGATCTATTAACATGAGTGCTTAGTCTAAACATGATCACCCTAATACGGAATTTTACGATTACTGACCGTTATTTGAAACCACCGTTGCGATTCTTGTTGTTCCCTCTCCAATACCATCAACCGGAGTGGAAGTAGAGGATGAAGTCCCTCGAACTGCTCCGTGATCGTCGGCGTAAGGGAAGTAGTCGTAGCAGTGAGAACGCCGGTTGCGGGGTAGCGGCAGCCTTCCGGTTGCCACCTACACTATCCTAGAACCGCCACACGTTTCCCCTCCAGCGCCAATGTTGATTGGGTTTAGATTGAGACCGAGAGAGATTGTCATCTACTGTTGGGCCGGCCTCCCCTTTTATATTTAGCACTGTGGGGAATCGGGGGCGACTCAATAGGAAATAAATTGGGTGCCACCGATCACGGCGCATAGTTAATCGGGAATTAACAGATTGGATCGCTCTGATTTTGCGTAGACAACGGGTGGAAAACGGTCTAGCGTGATCTTTCAAACCGAGAGATCAATTTTCCCAACAATATACTCGTAACGCTACCTAGCTCACTTTTTTTTAGAATTACACAGTACAACGCAAACACTTACCGATATGAACATATACACACACCATATCTTTATAAGCATATTAAAAAAACTAGACTAGTTGACGAAGTTATATGGACATCTCGTTGTTGACAAATACGCCGTCTTACTACTAAAAGGATAAATAGCCGTAAATACGAATGCTCATAAGTCTATGACTTAACCTGTAAATTAGAGTCACCGTAAATATGCCCTTTCCAATTCATATAGTATTTTTTTATCCATATATAAAAACACGAGGCGTGAAAATTACTCCCTATAAAAAACTGTGCGAATCGTAAGATAATCTTGTCTATATATAAACATAAGCCATTTATATTGTTCCAACCATCAAATAATTATATGAGATAGTAATATATATCAAAACTGATTCGCAGCCATACAAAAAACTACGTCCCCCTGCCTCTCTGTGTTGTCTGGTTATGATATACAAACGCAATGCAACAATTTATAGTGTATGTTAAATTTATATCGTTGCTAGTACATCGGCATGTATCACTGGTGGAGAAACCATCTTTCGTCGGTCGGCCGATTTCCACAATAGTCCCGGATGCAATAAAAACCAGGGCTAAAGATGATCTTTAGTCCCGGTTCAAAAGGGTAACGGGCATATTTGATCTTTAGTCCCGGTTTGTGTTACCAACCGTGACGGAGTGTGGGGGCTCCTCACCGGGAGACCGCACAGGCCCCCCTATGCCGGTTCGGCCGGGGGCTCAGGGTGAAATCCCAAGCTCTGTCTATATGTGGAAAGATCGCGACCTCTCGAAAGAGCATGAAACACCAGCGATGTATACAGGTTCGGGCCGCTGAGAAGCGTAATACCCTACTCCTGTGTTTTGGTGGATCTGTGTATGAAGGAGCTACAAAGTATCAGCCAGCCTCTCCCTCCTTCTGGGTTCCCGATCTGGGAAGGTCCAGTCCCAACCCAAGCCTGCTCTCCCTATGGGCAAGGTCCTCCTTTTATATTTCAAGGGGATACCACATGCACCCCTCTCTCTCTTTTGTGTGGGGACTTATCCTATCTTTTCATAAATGGACGGAGATTTGTATGGTTGCCGTCTGAATGACCTTCTGATGGGACAGCCCACACCTACCTCCACTTCCGCCGGAAGCAGGCGCGACGTGGGAACATGGCTGTCTGCTGACGATATGACCAGTGTCAGACCGGTCACAAATCGGTCATTCTTGTCCACCACGCGTCAGTTTATCAATCTGCATGTTCGCCCTTCTTCATACAATATCTTGCCTGTAATGGTTAGGATGAAGCCTGGCATATATCTGACCGGAACCAACGTGCCATCTCCAGGAGGTAACACGCCGGCTCCGGCTAGGGACGAGTGCTTGGAGGCTCTCGTCCTGACGGGATGGGGCGAGGCGTGCGTCAGACCGCCTGTCGCCACCTAACCCACGATCTGACCGGTCTGTGACTGATCACAGACCGGATGAACGAGCGCGCTGTACTGCATTACGTGTGGCGTGACGTGCTCACCCAAACCGCAATAAATGCGGTTAGGTGAGCCCCGCTGCGCTCACCTAACCCATACACGCGGCGCAAAACCCACAAGGGGTCGGGGCGCCTCGGCCCTCGGGGCCGAGGCGGGAGCGGTCCGACCCCCTCGGGGAGACAAAGAGGAGGGCGAACACATCACCCTCGGGCCCGACGCCCCCCGAGGGTGCCAGGCCACGTGGGCGATTGTGTCTGCCTCAAGCCTCTAGTCATGATACTCCCGGTCCCATGTCACCGACAGTAGCCCCCGGCGTTATGCCAGGGCGATCGCCCTCCCCGAGGGAAGCGGTCGGGCGTGACGCCACTTCTAAGGCCTGGTGACAGGTGGGGCCGGTTCCTACAGGTGCCGTCGAACTACATCACCCAAAGGGCGGTGTGAGGCAGCTGCGATGGGCTCGAGCTGGCCTCGGGGGCGGAGACAAGCTCGGGAGCTGGGGTCCACTCCACCACAAAGTCGGCGAGGGCCTGGCTCTTGATCGCGTGGCTTGGTTCAAAGCGCAAATCGAATTCAGAGAGTTCGATTGCCCATTTCACCACCCGTCCAGTACCCTCTCGGTTATACAAGATTTGGCCGAGGGGATAAGACGTAACCACCGTGACCCGATGCGCCTGGAAATAATGGCGCAACTTCCTCGAAGTTATCAGGATAGCGTAAAGCATCTTCTGGGCCTGAAGGTATCGGGTCTCAGCGTCCCGGAGGGCCTCGCTAACGAAGTAGACGGGCCGCTGCACCTTTCGGCGGGGCCGATCTTCTTCGTCAGGGGCCACATTTCCAGGGCGCTCTCCATCCGAGAGGCCACGCGGGGCGCACTCGGCTTCTGTGCCGACGACCTCGGGGTCAGAGGGCGACAGGCGCGGCCTTCCCGCAGTGGCCTCGGGGCCATCCTGGGGGTCGGGGGCGCCTGGCACCGTCGGACAAGCAGGCGGAGGGCCAGCTCCGGCCGTCGGGGGCCTTGGGCCGCCGTTCGGCTCGGGGGCCTCTCCTCCCTGCTCTCTCTCTCTCTTCGGGCAGAATCCCGGCGGTCGCAAATCGCGCGCATCAGCAAGGGAAAACCGACCGACAATAAGGAGCGGCCCCTCGGCTCGCGTTTGCCTTCAACTCCAACGAGGAGTGCGGTGACGACGGTGCGGACGACAGCGACGGCGAGGCCGGCTACCCAGGCGCGTCGGAGTGAGCCCCCAGGCCTCCGCCAATCTTAATAGCTTTTCATTCTTCTTCCGAGGCCTTCGGGCCCCCTTCTTGTTATAGGCTGATTTAATCTGCAATCAAATAAAGAGGAAATTTTTGTGTCAATTTCATTTGTTCTGTGTATGAGACGAGGATGGTCTGTGCCATAGTCCTTCTGTGTCTTGGCTTGAACAAGGGCTCGTGCCCAGGTCCCAGCCTCAAACGGCGCGGGTCAAGGCTAGTGCCTGGGGAGATCCACATGTCGAGACTGGCCAGGCCGGGAGCGTGGTGACCGAGGGTTATGGGTGACCCGATTGTGGGTTTTTGCCGATTCCCCCCGGAGTTCACCACGCCCCGGGGCACAGCTCGGTTCTGGGCCCCGTTTGGCGATTTTAGCCGACCCGAGCCCCCGAGGGTAGGATTGAGCACGAGTGACCTATTTCAAGCCAAGATTCTTCAAAAGGAAATAACAGCACAGATACAGCCTTTAAGAAATCGAAAATGCTTTTATTGAAATACGGAAGAGAAAAAAGATAAGCCCCCGGCCAACCCTGCACGCCCGGGGGGTGTGGGGTTGGCCCGAGCCCAAGACCTGATACCCGACCCCCACTAGGGGTAGAAGCGACGAAGGTGTTCGATGTTCCACGGGTTAGGCAGCTCTGTGCCGTCGCCCGTGGCCAGCCGAACGGAGCCCGGCCGGGGGACGCCGATCACTCGATACGGACCCTCCCACATTGGTGAGAGTTTGCTCAGTCCAGCACGCGTTTGGACGCGGCGTAGGACGAGGTCGTCGACGCAGAGTGATCGGACCCGGACGTGGAGCTGATGGTAGCGCCGCAGGCTCTGCTGGTAGCGCGCGGCTCGAAGGGCCGCGCGCCACCTTCGCTCTTCCAAGTAGCCGAGGTCAGGGAGCGTCGGCTTCCTTCTTTTTGTCGCTCGCAGGCCTCCCCTTTCGGGTGGCCCGCGGAGCGCCCTCGACGGCGAGGACATGACCCTCGTCGCCGGAATGGACCGACCTCTTCTTCTTCCTCCTGTCACGCTGCCCTGTCTGAGCGGCGGATCCGGGGGCGGCAGAAGCTGCCACTCCGGAACCGGAGGGGTTCCAGGTCCAGGCCTCCTCCTTGCGAGCCACTCGGTCCGCGAGCTGAAAAAGCTCTGCGGTAGTCTGGGGCTCTTTGGAGGCGATCTTTTCGAGCATGCGGTTGTGCCGCACGCCCCCCCTGAACGCGTAGATTACCGCGTGTGCAGGGATGCATGGTATGGTGTTGCGGACTTGGCAAAACCGCTGAATGTACGAGCGAAGTGATTCATCATCCCCTCGCTGTACTGCGTGCAAGTCCGCTTCTTCGCCTGGGCGC